TAAAAGTCTGTTACTGCCATTTTGTTCCTATTTAATTCTATTTAATTCCTTGTTCAGTCCTTTGTGTTCATTCCTCTCTTTGGTTTAAATCCTAAAGTTCCTTTTAATATTTCCTGAAGGGGGTTTTAGTGGATACAAACTCCCTAAGATTTTCTTTGTCTGAAAATCTTTCTCTCTTCCATTAGGCTTATTGTACTTCCATGGCTTTCCACTGACTTTTTAACTCCTCCATTGATCTTTTTACCACTTGCAATTCTGTTACTGTTTAAAATTTTAATTTTGATCTTCTGTTTATTGTATGTCTCACAGCATCCATTCCCTTTTCTAAGTTTTCTCATGTATCTTTTATCTATTTTTCTGAATTTTCTTTGTATTGTTCCAATTCTTTAATTTTCTTACTCACTGAAATTCTGAATCCTGCCTGGTAGGTAAAAAGTTCTTCCATGTCTTTGTGGTTAGTTCTGATATTTTGTTTTCTGTCTCTGGTATACTTACTGTTCCCCTAAGGATTTGCTTGGCTATTTGTATTTTTCTTTCTTCTTATTGTTTGCTATGGGTTTGCTTTGCTGTAGTTGAGGCTTTTGTTATGTGTGAATCCTTTTCCTCCCGCTGTTCTGGGTGTTTAACTTATGATGGGCACAGTTACTGTGGCCTTGTGAGATCTACAGTAGTACTAGGGCTCCACACATGCCCTTCTGGGCCTGTTCCCAGTGGCCAGGAGGGTTGGGCGGGCACTGGACAGAGGGCTCAGTTGCTGAGACCTTGCCCACCCTAGAACTGTGGCTCCAGTCTTATTTCTGGTGGCTTGAAGAGCTTGGTGGCCACTTCATACAGTTAAGAATTTTTATCTCCATTTTACAGATGAGGTAACTGACATCCAGAGCATAAGATGACTGAATCAAAATCAAATTAGGAGATGGATCTTGACTCCTAGAGCTTTTTACTAAAAACAGACTCCTAATAAGTTTGACCAGGTTCTACACATACACAAGACTCTACTTGCTGAATACACACAGCACACAGACTCAAAAGACTGTTTAACTTCAAACCTACATAACTTCATTATCAGCCAACCTACCTAAAATTTCCCATATTGTCTAAAAGATTATCATGATATTAAATGCACAATGACATCTTATTAATCTAACTTAACACATAGTGAAATGGGGCCAGCTAATAAGGTTTTAGTATTAGGGTATATGAACCATAGAAGCTCAAACAATAATGAATGTCATGCTCAATAAGAAGCTGTGAAAATAAGATATATTAAAACTATACATATATAGTTTTAAGTTTGTCAATAAATTGGCTGCAATTTTAAAGTTTTGACAATTAAAAACAAACTTCATTATCTGGAAAATTCAGTTATATTAGACTTCATTTTTCTAGTGATATTCAATGATAACATTTCTGTGTATGAAGAATGAATTATAAAAATTATCACTGAATACTGTATATTATGACTCTTACAATAAAAAGTTAAAAATCTTAAGCTTGTCATACATTGCCAAAGTAATTTTACATATTCACCTAAAATCCATTTGAAGTATTATTGACATATTAAACAAAATTGATGGTCCTGTAAAAGAAAGTAGATACACACAAACATCAAAATCCTTCCTCATTTAGTGACTTAATTTCAGAAGTAGATAGAAGGAAGATACACTGTTCTTGTTTAAAAAAAAAGTCTAAACATATAAATTATGTTCAAACAACATATTTAAATTTCATATAATGCAGTACTATTACTGCTGAACCTCCAGATTGTCTAAGGGGCAGTAGGCCTTAAGATGTTGTTGAGATAACTGGCTTCCATTAGCAAGCATGTGATTGGCAGGATGATAAAGTCTTTTCACTCACAGGTCAGCTATTTCCTTTTCTTAGAAGAGGGCAATTCTGATGATCCATCTTTTAGCTACAGCCTCATTGGGTCCCAATTCTCTTGCCTTCAGCTTTGATATGGTTCTAACTTTCCTCTTGTATCAGCTCATACTTGTCATCAACTTCTCCATTCAGAACAGCAAATATCAGGAGTTTGACCTCAGGGCAAAGTCCGGGTGGGCAGGTAAAATTTGACCACTGGACCTACTTCCTAATCTTTCATACCCAGCAATTCATGAAGCAGTATCAAATTCAAACTAAAAAACAGAAGCATGACCCCATATAAGTACTATGAAAAGGGCTCTTTTGCCTTTCTAAGTATACTTGAAAAGAACTGTCAGCTGCCCTATTAAGACAGAAATGGATCACAGACTAGAAAAAAAGGAAAAGTGCAGTAACTCAACTGAAATGTAAATAAAAGTGTTAGCACTCTCTGTGTGTAGGTGATATACTACTTCATATAAAAAGTGTTAATATATTTGAAGTAACTTTATAAAGTCAGAAACATAAAAACACCACCAAAATGTTATGATATCCTTATTTAAATAATCACTGACATCTGATACAAAAAACTTGTATCACCCCATGTGACACTTCAGTTTTAAAAATGACTAAGTACTTGACATTTCATTATTTAACTGCTTGTAAAGTTGTTTAAAAAACAAAGATAGAAAAAAAAATCCTTATCAATTTATTAAATCGAGGGCTCAGGTTCAGTGGCCCAAGCGTTAAAGAATTACTTGCACATTCTTGTTTTAGAATACACAAGTAAAAGACGTAAAGCATGATTGATTTTGAACATTAATACTGAGGGGAAATTATTTAAGACCCCTTTAAACTAGAAAAACTAGCTCTTCACTTTTTTTAAACAATTGTCACCTCGCCCGCATATTAACCATCATAATTCAAAATTGTGTTTTATATTAATTACTTCTATAGGCTTTAATAGATTTCATAATTATAAATGTTTCCTAATAGATTTTTTATTCACTCAGAAGTCTCTCAAAGAAATTACATTAATGAGGAAAAGGCAACCAGACTTAATGCCTCTAAGTACACATACTTGAAAAGCAAATTCAACCAAAAGATTAGGTGCTTATTAATATTTATAAGTATGCTTTAGTACCAATTCCCTAGTGAGCTATATGCTCATAAAAAAGCCTCCTTTGCCATCAAATGGTGATTGTCTTTGAAGAAAGAAAGTACCTGAGGCCAGAGTTTTAATCTGCATTGAACCAACCATTGATCTGGTCAAGTCAAGGAACAGAACCTTTAACAACAGTTTCGTAAATGATATGGTCCTATTCACAATTCTACAATGAGGTTACAAAGTATTCAACACCCTACAGATTCATATAAATTACAAAAATATCACATGGGTAAGTTTCAAGTTTTCTACAAACAAATTATAGATCTTTTTCAAGTTTATGCTCCAATAAAACCATCATTGAGTTGAAAATATCAGAAATCAAAAATGCACTTAATATACCTAACCTACCCAACATCATCAATTAGTCTAGCCCACGTTTAAAACATCCTCAGACCACTTACAATAGCCTGTAGTTGGGAAAAGCCATGTAAACAGAAAGTTTATTTTATAACAAAGATTTAATAGTTCATGTAATTTACTGAATATAGTACAGAAAGTGAGAACACTCAATAGAGAACTGGGTTGTACACTCCAGGAACTGCATGGCTGCCTGAGCTGTGGCTCAGTGCTGCGTCCTGGTATTGCAAGAGTTATCACACTGCATAGTACTAGTTCAGGAAAAGATCAAAATCCAAAAACCAAAGTATGATCTCTATGGCACACATACTACTTTTACATCATTTTGAAGTACAAAGATCAAAGTCAAACCATATAACTCGGGGACCACCTGTGTTTGTGTACAAAAACAGCTGTCCTCATATCACTACTCTTTGAATTGAAGAACATATTCTGGTCGCTTAACTCCAAGAAGAAATTTTACTCCCTAATGTCAATTTAGCTCTCCCGCTTCCTCTAACTTGGATCCACCCCTCCATATGCATGAGTCTCCCATCTAAATTAAGCTTCTTAATCTTAATATTAAGAAAGAAAATAGGAAAAGGAGGAGGGGAGAGAACAAGAAAGCAATCAGAAAAAATATGGGAGAGAGAAAAGAGGTCTTAAAGAGAAAATGACAAGATGTCAAAAGGAAATAAAATGAACAGGTAAAAAGGTTATTACCTGTTATGACATTCAAGTTATGGGGCCAGAAAAGAATTATGTAAATGCATAACTGTCTTTTGAAAATTAGCTCTATCTTTTCTTTTGGAGGCAAACAAAAATATTTAAAAGAAGACATCATTTAAAAAAAATAATATAATAGTTTGTTTTTACATCATTTTGTGCCTTTTTCCATCTCAGTTGTAATCCCCGTGGGTTTCCCATCACCACATCACAAGTGTTAAAGATAGCATTCTTTAACCACTAAAAACCTTTTAAGCAAGGGTTTCTTTCTAGGTGATAATAATTTACATTTAACTTGGGTCTTGCTACTAACATTATACCACTAATTTTCTTATGTGACCGTATGTCATAAAGAAATAAACCTCAAGTGTCATCAAACCAAAGTACAAAGTTATTATTCAGCTATGTTCTTAGCAGGTAATAAATATTTGCTGATGAGAATGCTAAATGAAACTGAGACACAGAATGAGTATACGGTTCTGAGAAAAAGGGCTAAATACAGTTATCAAGAAGCACTTTTCTAAAGAAAGACTGTGTCAAGGCAAACAAGCATTTTGGTAATAAAAAAAATAAGAGAGAGAATGCAATGAACGAGGGCCCTCCCTGGTGGCGCAAAGGGTAAGGTCGTAGTACTACAAGCTACTCCTGACGCTTCAGTGCAAGTTCGATCCCCCGCCCCAGAGGTAACCCACATGGCGTGGCAGACCTCTCCTGACCTGCCCACTGCTCCCCCCAGCAGCGTACTTCCTTGATCAGCCTGCTCTGCTCCCCACTCTGTCTCTGGTGAATCATCTTACCACCCCTGCACCTCTAGCTTGAACTCCAGTTCTGTATGCACAAATAAATCTTTTTTTAAAAAGTCAGTATTAAAAAAATGGTAAATGAGAAACACATCAGTACATCTTACTTGTCTGAGGTCGATGAATGCTAGCTGTAGGGTATCCCCCTGGAATCCTGGCACAGGCTCTGAGCTGGCAAACACTGTTAAAAAAAAAAAAAAAAAAACAAGATTGCAAAATATACAAGGGTTTAACCGCTAAATTAATTTCTACTCATTACAAATGTACTACAATATTTACACACAACCATTTCAAATGAAGACTATTTTATAACCTTTAATTTCCACTACTGAAATGTTCTCCACACCCATTACCACAAATATTTTAATAATTTTAAACTTCTAATATGCCATTTAATCACCATAATCCTTAATTATAACAAATTTAGAATGGTTGTCCTATGTAGAGTTCAACAGCAGTAATATACTTCAATCAAGAAAACTTTTCTGATTCTTTTTAGCCTCAGGTGAATGATTTTAGAAGCACTTTAAAATTACACCATTTCCATAGCTGTCAAAATATTTCAAAACATCTGTTCTGTTACAGAATATGCTCTATAAAATTCTACCTCTAGTTGACAGCAATAATAAAACATGCCAGAAGTCAGTTTTACATGCAGACAACAGATAAAATGTTCTAAGTAGCAAAATGAGGACCGTCTTTAAAATTTTTTTTCTATAAGGGAATCCCACTTCTTTAAAAAACTAAAAGCTATCCTGTGATTGAACAAAAATTCTGAATTCTTTTCAACAATATTTTGTATTTAACAATTTTAATACTTGTAACATAGTTTGTTTAATCAAGCTAAAGACAAGTCCAGTATTTTGATGGCAAAAGACTTCTAATTTTAAATGCAAGTTCCTCTAATAAGAATGCAAATGTCTATGAACATTTTCCTTCCATATTAACAGCTGCATTTTCTCAGAGAATATTACAGGATTATCTACATGTGAATTTATCTGGGCCAGTACTTTTAATATAGTTTGGGGAGGGAAATAATTCTGAGTTTAGTGAGTCAATGTGAAATACTGCTTAGATAGACTTAAAATCAATAATTAAAAACAACAAATACATGAAAACCTAGCATAAATTATATCTGGTATTTTGGGGAACTGAAGAATTCAAAAATAAGTTTTTATTATGCTTTGTTTTTAAGAAAATGATCATTTTTGCTGTATCAAAACTGTTTTGTCATCCTAAGTTTTTTTGATGAAATTTTAAACTATTTCATAATACTTTCCCTATCTTTGTTTTATGAGTACACTAAATATTATTTAAACTTTCTTAATTCTTCAGATCACTATTAAGAACACGTTTTATTCTGTACAAGACAATAAATTCTCAGGGCTGCTATGGCATTGAGTCATTTTCTGATACAAAATGGGTTCAAATGTTGCTTGAGTCTGGTGCCTAGATTTTATATTTATGCCTTCTCTTAAGCAGCTTTAACATAAATTTTTACTCCCTACTCTTTCACTCATCTCATATTAACATGCTATCTTTAACCTTCTTGCGCTTGTATGTCAGCTGATTACTAGTATTGTGTCTAGAGTAAGAGCAAATGTAGTTAAGGAAAGATCTCTCTCACAGAAAGCAAACACAGTTGAGATAGACAGTTGGACAGGTAAACATATTTTAGATAGAGAGATACCTGTTTTAAGTATGAGTATCCTTTCAGTAACTTCAGGCATACCATTTTTGCTCTTGTTACTTGGTTCTCCACCAGGTAATAAGTAGTTATAGCCATAGCTAAATGATTACACTAACTTATCTCAGGTCCCCTACTTCCAGAAAATTAAGATTTATTGAGCAAAGTTGTAATTTACTCACACTATGTCATTCACCATACAACGAAAAGCAGTATACTTTCATACTACAGCAATACCATCATCCCTACCATATCTATTAAATAAAGGTTTTTGTTTTGTTTTGCTTTTTGTTTTTATTTTAAAGACACTTAATGTTGTCCAGCATTTGGTTGGCTTTTTTGGCCAGGGTGTCAGGCCCCTGTTGGCAGGCACAGTTAACTGTGAATCCTCAGTGCTCTCCAAGTAAGGCTGTAAATGTTAGCTGCTTCTACCATTACCACACATCTATGCACATCCACACACACAAAAAAAAGATTTCCTAAAAACCAGGGACTGACTTTATGTATCAGGCATAATCTCAATTTCTACCATACTCAGTTATCTATTTTAATATCCAGAATTCACACCCCCCCACTCTTGTTTTAAATACTACAGTTTAAGACGCTAAATCAGAGTTTAGTGTCAAAATTATAACATACCATCAATTTTTAAGACACATCTTTTTTTTTTTTTAAGATTTATTTATGCATACAAGAACTGGGTGTGGGCCAGAGTTGTAGGGGGTGAGAGGATTCATCAGAGACAGAGTGAGGAGCAGAACAGGCAGGCAGACTAAAATACTGTTGAGGGGAGCAGTAGGTGAGACAGAAGAGGTCTACTATGCCATGCGGGTTAGTTCCCTGACCAGGGATTGAACTCATGCCACTGTAACTCATGCCATAGTGGCTGGGGATGGCTTGATAGCGATGAGACTCAACTTCTGAGCCACCAGGGAGTTCCCAAGTAAGGGCTTATAAAACACTTTCTCATACAGCATTTGCTTTAATTACCACAATAACTTATTTTAGTAAACAGGGTGTGCTAATGATGGATCAAACAATCTTATAGCTACAAGAAGCACATATTTTGAAATATCTCCAAAAGATTAGGTTTAATTTTCCTCATCTTTCATTCTATAGGGCAGAAAACTTTTAGGTGAAGTGACTTGCCCAGGATCACATAGCTAATTCAGATGTCCTGGCATTTGATCCATCTATCTGGATCTGATTAAGTATTTATAATCAACTTTTACTCTCTTACAAGAACCCAGACAATATGGAAGTGAAATTCACTACTGTGTAGCTCCCCTGACTTTTTCTCAAAACCCTTTTTAGGGGTTGGAGGCAATTTAGCAATCTGATAATCTAGTGTAGCGGATATTTAGTAACTTTATATTTTTTCCCTTTACTGCTTTAAAACTGGAATACAGCAAATCCTGTTGTTTCTGCCTTCTACACTATCTATTTCTATTTCAAGTTATCATTTCTTGCTTGGATATTAAAACATCCTCCCACCAGGCCTCTGTGTCTTGTGTGCTAACTCTCCAATCATTCTCTGATATGACTTATAGGTTGAATAATAATACAAATAATTCGTTTCTATTAATATTGTCTAATGGCCCCAATAATTTTGGAAGTAGCTTTAAGCTTTGATGTTTAAAAGAACTGAGCGCTAAGTTTTTAAATCACTTTAAGCATTGTCTTCAGAGTCTTTCTTGTTTCTTTCATATTCTCATTCTATACATAAATTGTTATGTTTTGGAGTTTCTTTATTTGCTTTTGGGTCTTTTAAAATTACTTTTATTTAATAATGCATACTTCCCTATTACATTTTTGTCTTTGCCATTTAGCCATGCCACTGAGAATATTTTTAGACCCACGCATTTTCTGGTCTTCCAATAAGATATTAAAAATAGTTTTCAAAATAAACTATTATAAAATTTTAAAAAATAAATTAAAAAAATAGTTTTCAAGCTTTCTAATGTTTTTTTAAGCAATCTAATACAAATCTTTTATTTTTTTCTTAAGTCTTCGCTTTGACCATTCCTTTTTGAAAACAAAACTTATTTCCTGCTAAAATATAGAACTTATAGTAAGTGACTCCAAGTTTTAAAATGATCTAGCAGATTAGAAAGGGAGGTGTCTGACCCAACTGAGAAGGTCTCTTATAACAACAGAATAGGTCAACAACTTTGCTGTATTGGCCTAACTGGGAAGAAAAGAGTCTGAATTAATATAAAGGAAAGAAAGCAAAAATAATAATAATAATAATAATACATCTGTGTAAGTTATGATTGCTGTGACCAATAATGTATCTTCCAAATTGGGAATCTATAATGTTTTAAAAGGATAAAGAAGATCTGTAGACAACTCATGAGCTACTTGATACAAAAAAAATTGTTTTTCAAGTATGAAAGTAGGCCCAACATGCCTTCAGGATTTATACACAGATATATGGGATTTGGTACAAGGGAACAAAGATTGTTAAGAAGTCAGGCTCTAAATATTTATCCTAGCATGAAAATATAAAACCTTTCCTGAAGTTAAATGCAGGGGGAATAAGTTTTCAAACAATTTTGTACCAGGCAGTTATCTTTACTACAAGACAGAAAATGTGAATTACTTGGAAAACATCTACAAAGGGTAGGAAGAATCGTCGGGTGGTGGAAGGGATAGAAAAAGTGTCTCTGGAGTCATAAGAGGAAATACAATAAAAGGTTAAAAAAGACTGAAGGGAAGGTGAGACTGCTTGGGGAAAACAAGACCATATAAAACTTCAATGATTTTGTAACTTAATAGATGACTGAGTAGGAATAACAGTCATCTGCATATTCAAAAGATAATTTATTATAATTCCACTCTTGCTAGACAGGAAGGTTCCAGTAGCTAGTCAGAACTGTTTTGGCTAGGCAAAGAAAGTATGCCATGTAGACCAGCTGTCTTTAGAAAGAATGATGAAGAGCGCCATCTAGTGTTTTGTTTTGTTTTGTTTTTTGGTGGTGAAAAAGAATCATGCCTGGGCAGCAGGGTCTTGAGATTCTTGGCTCAGACTTACATTATTATACATGGTAGACGGCAGTGGGATGCAAACATCTAGGGCCAATGAGCCCTCCACAACATTCATCACTCCACTTTTATATTAGGTAGTAACTAGTTCTCTCCCTTCCTTGGAATCAGACAAATTAGCCTCATTTGACACCTTAACTAGTAAAACCAGGAACAAATTCAGGCACATGAATAATATAACAGCATCCATCTTATTTTTTTAGAAGACATTCAAATAGTCTTCTGATACCATCCACATGATTTTACATGAATCCTTTTATTTTGAGATAGTAGTCTTTTGTAAGGCAATAATTAGAAGGCCTGAGGTCACGGACACACACACAAAGGATTTTATCTCTTTTTTCTTCTTTGAGGTAGGTTTAACCTTTATGTAAAAAGAAAAAGACCAAGACTTTCAAACCTAGAGATTCGCTTATTCCTCAGTAACTGACCATTCAGATGCAAGTACA